ACCTGAGGGTTCCTGATTCAGCTCACTTCTCACTCCCAGCCTTTGCACATTCTGGACCCTATGTCTGGAGGACCTCGCACTCATTACAATGGTTTCCACGTTATGAAGCCCTAGTCGTGGTCTTAGGATTCTGGGCTTAGAGTCTGTTCGAAGTACCTAGGTCAGTGGGATACAAGAGCGGCTGATAGTCCAAGGACTCCACTATCTCAGAGGCCAAAAGGAGGTGAGGCTTTGAAATAAGTTCACAAACCCTTACACCTAATCGATTCTGTATTTTCAGGAATTTATGGAAAGATAATTGTCTGTTGTGAGCCTGGCCACTGTCAGGCTCTATGGGCTCAGGCTGCTCAGTGTCCTTGCCCAGCCCAGAGGCCAGGTGCCCTCCAGATGCCTGTGTTATCTCAGGGCTCAGTGCTCAGTGCTCACTCTCGCCAGTTCCCTTATCATTGACAGGACTTCCCCTTCCTGTCCACAGCTGCTGTCCTCTGTCTTCCAGTCTGTTCTTCCTCTGAGCAATGTTAGGAAAAGTTAGAATCCGGCCTCAGAAAATGTCCCTTTTTTTCACAACCATCTATGCTCCCAGCCTCGTGCAAAACCACACCTCATCTCTTTGTTTTCTTTAGACCTGCAGTTCTCAACCTGGGGGTCGAACGACCGTTTCACAGGGGTCGCCTAAGACCATCGTAAAACACACCTATAAATACATATTGTTTTTGTGATTAATCACTATGCTGTAATTATGTTCAATTTGTAACAATGAAAATACATCCTGCATATCAGATATTTACATGACGATTCATAACAGTAGCAAAATTACAGTTATGAAGTAGCAACGAAAATAATTTTATGGTTGGGGGTCACCACAACATGAGGAACTGTATTAAAGGGTCGTGGCATTAGGAAGGTTGAGAACCACTGCTTTAGACCCAAAACGGGCCCAGGTTCCCGAGTCCTCCCTGCTCAGTCTCACCATCACGTCCTTACAAGGCGGCCCTGCGGCCTTTCACCCTCTTCCCCCATCAGCCATGTGTCACCCACGAGGGACTCACCATTCTGAGCGCGGGGACCTGGGCGGCGGGGCCTGAGAGGCCGGTCCCCAAGGCTGGAGGGTGAAATGGGGTCAGGCTGCGGGGACGCTGTAAGCAGAGAGGAGTCCGGGAGGCACGGGGATCCCAATCTCGGGCTGTTGGGCTCAAGGAGCCTCAGACACACCCCGCACAGCAGGCGCGCTGCCTCCCAGGCCTCCTCCTCCTCACGACCAGCGCCCTGAAGCCTGTGAGTCTGTGAACAAAGACCTAAAAAGTTAAAATGGCCAGCGCGAATATGAAGGCGGAAGTCCCGCCCTAACCAAATGCGCAGACACCAAAATGCCGTTTAACTCCGCCCACATGAGTGCAGTTTCTTCTGGGTAATGTAGTTTTCTCAACCGCCCAGGGGAGTAGTAGAGTCCCAGCAGATGTCAGGGGCCGGCAAACTGAGGCTTTGAAGCCACGTGTGGCTCTTTGGCCCCTTGAGTGTGGCTCTTCCACAACATACCACGTGCGGGCGATCACGTACAGTGCGATTGAAACTTCGTGGCCCATCGCAGAAGTCAGTTTAAGGCTTGGGAGAGTCTATTTTGAAAAAGTACTGATGATGTTTGGCTCTGTTGACTAATGAGTTTGCCAACCACTGACTTAGGTGAATAAAGGTGTTGTGGCCCAGCAAGTGACGCCAGGGGAGGGAGTAGATGGGACCAGAGGCCTGGCTCACTGGAGCCGACTAACAGATCTCTGAGGGGAAGGAGGTGGAGAGGAATGCAAGAGATCCACCAAAGAATATATAGGGAGGGAGGAAATGGGAGACATCGTAATACTATCAACAATAAAAACTATATGTATTTTCATAAATTTTAAAATAATGTAGTCCAGCTGGTGTTGCTCAGTGGTTGAACCTCTACCTGTGAACTAGGTCATGGTTCTTTTTTTCTTTTTCTTTTTAAAATTATTTATTGTTTAAAGTATTACATATAGTATTACTTATAACTCCTTTTCCCCCATTGAGCTTTGCCCAGGTTCCCCCATGCCTTAGCACATGCCCTTACCTCCCATAGTGTCTGTCTGTGTCCATTGGTTATGCTTATACGAATGAATATGTCTTTTGGTTGATCCCTTAACCCCTCCCTTCCCTGACTTCCCTCTGAAGTTTGAATCTGTTTGACACTTCTATGTTTCTGAATCTATTTTTGTTCATCAATTTATGCTGTTTATTATATTTTACAAATGATGAGGTCATACGATACTGCTTCTTTTCCTGGTAGGGCACATACATGGGTTGCAGGCTCAATTCCCAGTGTGGGGGTGGAGTCATGCACGAGGCAACTAATCAGCAATTCTCTCTCATCATTGATATTTTTATCTCTCCCTCTCCCTTCCACTCTATAAAATCAACAAAAATATTTTAAACATATATATATATATATATATATATATATATATATATATATATATATGTTATATATATATATATACACGCCATGGACATAGACAATCATGTGGTGAGGGACTAGAAACAGTGGGGGTAGGGTAGAGGGAGAGAAGGGGGCAGGAGTATGGCAAAAATTGGGAATATCTGTAATAGAGTCAGAAATCCTATATAACTATGAACGAATTTTGTAAAGGAAGGAAAGTCAATGACTGCATTTAGAGCTGGGGAAGGCATAAAGAGAGAATATAAAAGGCAGGAGGTAAATATAGGTGTTGTTAGTTAGGTTTAGAGTTGTTGGTCAGGAAATTAATACAATAGTTAATAAATAATAACACAAGAATAATCTCTTCCCTGGCATTGTATTTCAGTTGGTTGGGCACCATCCCTTACTCTGAAAGGTCACTGGTTTCATTCCAGGTCAGGACACATGCCTGTCTAGATGTCCTGTAGGTGGTGGACACGAGGCAGCAGTTCAATGTTACTTTCTCTTATCAACATTTCTTTCTCTCTCCCTTCTTCTTTCTAAAAGGTCAATAAAAATATTTTAAATATATAAAAGACTTATTTTTAAAAGAAGATAAACTCTGTGTTTTGCATATTCACATCTGTAAGCCTACTTTTGACCTAACCTCTATATGTGAGAGATATGTTTATTTCACATGTGTTTTCAGAGCTTTATCCATATGTCCAAGCTCACCACATAGTACACATTAGAAAAACTGCATTTTGTTGTATGTCAGTTATAAATATACTTAATAAAGCCTTAAGAACCACTTCCAAATAAAGGCATGGATAGCCCTGTTCTGTTAGGAAATTAAAATTGCAAACTTACATGGATTCTACCATCTCTCTCCTAATTTCCTGGACCAGCCTTGCCACAGAAGCAGCCAATAGTGGCAAGCAGTGAAGACTTTTGCCATCCGAATTTCCAGGAATCCTGACTGGTTACAAAAAAATATATCCTGGGACTGATTATAGGATTATCCCTCCTCAGCTCTGAGGTCTTCCCAGTTGAGGAAGCCTTGAGGTGAACACCATAGATGGGCCAGGGAACTCCAAAAAAAATGTGTATTTATTTTTCTGCCAATGACTTCAGTCACAGAATAGTTATGGAGGCCCTTAGAATGTCTGTAAGCAAACATCACAGAAGCCACAGAGTAGGCACTTTTCATACAATTTTCTGGTCTTTCCCACTCACTAGGAATACAGTGTTTCTGTTCTAATGCTAGTTCCATTTAAATCTAAGAGCCTTAACAAGTGACACCAGCCTATGATATTTCATACATCATGGGACATGGCTCCTTTACAGTATGTGGGGAAGTATTCTTCTAAACATTGCTGAGAATTATGTAATACTGTGAACAGAGAATATAATTCATATTGTTCACACAGGCACAACAAAGAACTCCTATCCTGGGTGACCATTGAGGCACCAAGCTGCAAATTAGAACCACAAAGTCATGCAGACTTTCTTTCAAGGCCTTGGTCAGCAATGCAAAATAACCCAATATTGGACAAAGAGTGATTTTCTGCCATTCTTATATTCCTTCCAAAGCACAGAAAGTTTGGCACCCCACAAATGTTATCATACTAATTTACTCTCTAGTATAAATACACTAGAGACCCAGTGCACAAAAATTTGTGCACTTGGGGGGGCATCCCTCAGCCCAGCCTGCCCCCTGTAACAGTCTGGGAGCCCTCACAGGATGTCCTACTGATGTCCCTGTGGGGAGCAGGCCTAAGCCGCAGTCTGGCCTCCTCTGTGGGAGGTAACTGGCCGATCAGGTATATAGATAGTTTCTGAAGGCAGCACAGACTCCTTCCTTATTTCTTTCCTTTGTGGTTGGAGAATAGGGGACTAAAAGGTGGAGACAGAACTGTGGCCAGGCCTGGGGCTCTTGTAGGCAGCAGAAAGAAGTAGAGGGCTGGGGAAAGTCTAGACACGGTTTTCTTCAATTGTCCTCCCTTCCTCCAGGCCCCTCACTCTGTTCTCCCCTTGTCGTGGTGGATGCTTGCGCCTCAGACTGACAGCAGCCCAGTGACAGTGGAGTTCAGCCCCCTCACTTCTCAGCAGAACATACAACCGCCTCACATTCCAAGTGGAGCTGTTTTCAAGTGGCTAAAGTGCTGGCAATTCATGCCTCCCGGCCTTTCCCCTCTCGGGTTTCCTCCTTGGGTCAGTTGCAAACTTCACCGAGACACCAAAGCAACTCTGCCCTGGTAGTTCCACACCGGCCCCTGCTCGGGCCCGGCCGGGCACTCTTCTTTGAGGTCTCTGGGTCCACAGTCTGAGCTCAGGGAGGTCACCCAGAGTCCATTCCCCCAGACAGGTAGGGCAGGGGGGCTAGCTTGAAGAGCTGGAGGAAGATGGCAGAGTAAGAGTTGGTATGAACCAGTGCCTGCTTAGCCAGATTTCCTAAGCTCCCCACTAGGCCCAGGCCGGGCCCCTTCCCCACACCAGGAGGATCCCAGCTGAGGTCCCCTCCCTTCACCCAGTGCTCTCCTTCCTGTTCTACCACTGGGGGAAGGGAGCAGCTCACTTGCTCTGGAACCTGCCAACCTGGCAGGCAGAGGCACAGGCAGTGCAGCCTAGGGTGCTGGTGGCTGCGAGCCTTCTCCCCCTCCCTGAAGCATGGGGCGGGGTTGCAGCAGCTCACAGCTGCCCCTGGGCACCATGCATGGAGATACCGCTATCCACTGAGCCACCATCCACCCAGGACCTGTGGGGGTTAGGGTGGCCTCATCGCCCTCATGAATCGCTGTGGTCCAGCCATCCCATCCCAGGAAGTGGCCATCCCGATCGCCATGGCTCACTCCCCGGTGCAGTTGGGCGTGCCCAGCAAGCATGTAGGCAGGAGCTGGGCCTCTGAGGGGAAGAAGGAGGCATGCACAGGCCAGGGCAGATGTGGGGAACTTGGCAGTATAAACACAGCCCACCCCCACGTCGTGCCGGCCCCTCGCGCTGCATTCCCAAACTCCTGGGTGCCCCTGCCCAGCACTGTGCTCTCAGGCCTAGGGTGGGGATGAGGGACCTGGAGCTGTGGCCTGAAGGCAGCCCTCGCTGGCTTGGAATCACAGTGGTCTATCAGGGAGGGAAGTGGGGTGTCAAATTCCGCCTCTCTCTCTCTCTCAGAGGGCCCCGTGTCCCCTGTGGGTGGGTGGGGGCTCAGGCGAAGGCAAGTGATGCCAATCACCTTGCCTGTGCCCCCAGCCGCCCCTGGTTCGCACACGGGAGTGGGCCCCATGTCTCCGGCTAGCAGGCAGGGGCTCAGGCGAAGCTATCAGAGACCGCTTTGCCTGAGCCCCCGCCCCCAGGTTGCACATGGGGGCCTGGATGGCAGCTCGCGCTGTCCCGCCGTGCCTGCAGTATGCAAATTAGCTGCCATCTTTGTTGGCAGTTAATTTGCATATCACTCTGATCAGCTAATTGCCGGCATAGCAAAGGTACGGTCAATTACCATGTTTGTCTATTATTAGTGCAGATACATATATATCCTATATAATAAAGAAATAATATGCAAATTGACCATCACTCCAACACACCAGAAGGCTGCTCCTATGTGGACACAAGATGGTTGCCATGAAATGGCTGGCAGGGGAGGGAAGTTGTGGGTGATCAGGCCAGCAGGGGAGGGCAGTTGGGGGGCGATTAGGCCTGCAGGGGAGGACAGTCAGGGGTGGCCAAGTCAGCAGGGGAGGACAGTTAGGGTGACCAAGCCAGCAGGGGAGGGCAGTTAGGGGTAACCAGGCTGGCAGACGAGGGAAGTTAGGGGCAATCGGGCTGGTAGGGGAGGGCAGTTAGGGGCAACCAGGCTGGAAAGGGAGAGAAGATAGGGGTGA